CATAATCATGCATTAAAATGTGTGGGTTTCGATATTTGTTCTCCTTTACATCTTTCAATAATAGCATTACTTCTTAGAAACTACGACAGCTGCTTATTACCCGGCCTATACACTCTTCCAGACAAGCACCTAGCTCTTATTCACGAGATCTGGGTTACAAATAAATCTTCAATCTCCCTTCTTTATATGCCTGAAGATTGCGATTTTACTTTAGTTGAAAGTTATATCAAGCTTATATTATTAACTTACAACCAGAAGGGCTAACAACTTTATATTTGCCAATTTTGACCGGGGATAAATGGATTGAAGATATACCCAACCATAGCCTAGGTCCATATCCATCTTCCAAACAATTAAGAATATCAATTGGTGTTCGCTCTGGTCACAATATAGTCCTTTTACCTATTCTCTTTGCAACGAACGTCAGAGTTAAAGAATGGGAATCATCCTTACCGATTTTCCTAAAGGCCGACCTAGACATAGTGCAGAACAATTTATTACTCAGAGTCTTAAGAAGAGTCACATTCCAAATACCACGAGCTATTAAGTCTTAATTCTTCAGATAGAGACCAGATGATTTAATCGTAATTCTATAGTGATTACACTTCTTTTGGTGGCTGAAATCAACAAAGCAAGCAAATATTCCCAGTTAAATTTATTCCTGTCTTACATCAACTCTTGGAAACTTCGACCACGAGGTACATTCCTTCCTGAAGGAGAGAAAAATTATCCAACTAGCTGGCGATCCTAAAGAATGCTTCTAACTTCCTCAGCATAGGTTTAGTAATTTGCTGTTCAATTTTTTTTTATCGATTCAGAGTTCTATTATGTCACCCAATGTGCATCGATTTAATTTTTTAAAATAATTTTTTTAAATCTTTATTTAAGTTATTATTAATATTCGATAGGCCCCCTAGAAAAATTAAGAGACATAAATATAAAAATATAGAAAAGGGAGAATAGAAAATTTAATAAAAAATAATTTATCTCGTTAAATATGGATTTATATATATAATTATTTATTTATATTAGGTGTTGTGTAGCATAAATTGTTGTTTGTTTCATTCATTCGTGTTCGATATTAATATGATAAATATTTAACTCAATACAAACATAATAAACTTAATTTATATCTTACGGACTTATTATATTATTTCTTTCACTTGACATAATATTAATAATTTCCTAAATTGAATTTGAAAAAGTATATATAGAGATATAAATTTTTTGTTAAAGAGTTGCATTCAAAATGAATTAAATAAAATATAAATTTTGTTTTATTATTTCGTTTAATTTTTTGTTATCTTATCCTAAACTCCATGCCTACCTTCACTTTTCAATATATCTTAATAAATCAAGAGATATTTTTAAAATATTATTTTTCTTATTTTGATTCTTTTTCCAAATTTCCTTATAGTAGTTTGGTTACGGAATATTGCTCACCTAGGTTTTTATGTTCGGTTTGACATCCTAATTTTACGCCTTGTAAAATATCTTCTATATGCATATTTTCCAAAATAGGTAAAAATTCGGAAATAGCTATTCAATCGAAATGTCAGATCAATTGTCTTAAAAAGAATTATATTAAATTTACATGCAGGATAAAAAATCATTAGAAACGAATATAAGTTAAGATAATTATATTAGGATGTGTCAAAACTAGAGATGTAAAGGTAGGAAAATTTCCCGGGAATATTCCCCGGGAACATTCATATTTTCCCGGGAAATTTCCCGAATTTTCCCTTAATATAAATATATTATTTATTTGCAAAAATTATGATTTATATTTTATAAAATATAATATTTTATTTCAATAATTATGATTTATAATTTAATTTATAAATAATTTTTATTTTCCTCGTGAGTCTTTAAACTTATTTTTTTATTAGTGCAATCATTGAGTCCAATTTTTCAAATCTATAATTTTAAAAGTACAAAAATAAAGGTAAAATGTTTCACATTATATTCTCATACATAATATTAATGTGATATATTATAGAATTATTAATAATTAATGATATATTTAGATTTGATATATAATAGTGCTCACAAATTGAGCGTTTGCAGTATGTTTGTTAATGTAACGCATCTTTGTTTAGATTGAAAGCAGTATGTTTTTTATTAAAGTTTTTTTTATAATTTCTTAAACAAAAAGAGTTTATTTCTTACCTTAAGGTAAAATAAGGAAGTTTAATTATATTTGTTTATTTAGATTTCCTAAGAATTTATGATTCAATTTTCAAATTTTTTTGTGGCCTTGGATGCAAAACATATGTATATAAATGTTTCTTTGTTTATCCTACCTTAATTTATATATTTATAATAATCTATATATTTTAATAAAAATGTGAAATAAATTTTGAATAGTTTGCATATTTATATATTTTATATTTTTTTCAAGACACTAGATATAAAAATAAATAGATTTAGAAATATTGCTAATCAAATTTCAAATTTATGATATAATTTGATTAAATCTATCTAATAATTGCTAAATAAATTTTGAATAAGTGCTTATTTATATATATTTTACAAAATAATTTTAATTACATTTTTCAATCTTTAATTATGAAAATGTACACCATAATAAGAGTATTAAATGTCTTATTTAATAAAATAATTTTAATTATATTTTTCAAAAATGGACACTAGAATATGGAATAATATAACTTTATTATATATAAATAAATAGAATTACAAAAAAAAACAAATCAATTTTCATAGATATAATTTCATTAAATAATGAGGTTTGATTTACAGGTATACCTGTTGAATTTGGAGGCCACAATTCAATTTTCCATTAAAGTATAATACAATGGAGATACTTCATTTTTGAAAAAATATTTGTTTGATTTATATTTTATAGAGAAACATTCTAAAATAATGTTAAATTTATAGATAAATATATATTTTACTGGCTCTCAAGGCACCCTTTCCAAAAGAGTCAATATATCCAACAATGCATTTAATTTTAACCCACTTGCTTTCCTTTGGTATAATTTCTTTAGGACTAAAACTATCCTCTATTGTTGGCTCCATGAATTTAATGTAATCATACCATCTGTATGAGAGTTTAGAGCCAGAAGCTCCTGAAACCTTGCACAATTATCTTGGTCTTTAAAGTTTTGCAACTTCTTCTTTATGCATGCTACAGTTGTATCATGCAATGGAAATTCCATCCCCAAGCTATTAAAAATAAAATTTATCATTATTTATATATATTTACCTTAAACTACTGGTTAATAAACCATCTAATACTAATATAGAATTCTTATGGTCTGGACGCTGCTGGCTCCAGACCATTTGTTGAGTTTCCAGTAAGGTACAAAATTTTTTAGTAACCTTATCATCCCTTCTAAAATTATAATATGTATCCAAAAATTATATAAATATAAATTCCAAAATTATATAAATAATCATTTCTAAAATTATATAAATATCAATTAATATATTCTAAATAATATAATATCAATTAATATATGAAATAAATTATACCTACAATTTGTATCCATTTTTAAATTTTAGCGCAAAATTAAAAAAGCATAGAAAAAATCTAAAACCAGTTTGCTTTTTTATTAACGTTTGGCGTAAAAAAATCCAAGCTGCACTCTACCATATTAGCTTTTAAAACGGAGAGTTGCAACGCTCAATTTGTGCGCACTATAAGTATCATTATATGTTAATCATACTATATAACTGATACAATGATTTATAATGTTTAATATATTTTAATCATACTATATAACTGGTATAATGATTTACTGATGTTTAATTTAAATAAATATGATTGCAATATTTTATAGATGCCTCGGAAATCTTCCAATATCTGGAAACATTTTATTAAAGATAGAGCTAATAACAAGAAAAGATATATATCAATATGCAAATATTGTCAATTAACATATAATTTCCCAAATTCAACAAAGATGTCTCAGCATATCAAAAAATGTCATGGGTATATTAACAGTTTACAATTTAATGAAGTTGATCGTGATAATAATAATTCTACTGAAGAGGATGTTGTAGTTGTTTACCAGATTCCAGTAATTCAAATAAAATTATAACCCAAAAAACATAAATAAAACCATTCTAAATACTTTTAAAGAAAATACCAATAATTTTAATGCTGGCACATCTAAAATTAAAAATTTTTTCGACACTATAACCGAACAAAATCAAACACAACTTGACAGTGCTTTGGCATTGGCTATTTTTATGTCAAATTGCCCTTTTAATTTAGTTGAAAATAAATATTTCATCAATTTTTTAAAATTAATGCGTCCAGCCTATAAAATGCCTTCTAGACATGCAATTAGTAAAACATTACTAGATTTTGAATGCTCTAGATTATTATGATATAATAAAGTTATGATGAATCAAAAAAAACATATTTATTTCCAAACGCTCGACATGATTATTATGACATTATAATTAATGATGAAACTAATATATTTATATCCAGACGCTCGATTATTATATTATGAAATTAATGATGAAGCTAAAAGATATTTATATACACCTACTTCTCACCAATTTATCAGATTCATTATTAATGAGAATCTTGACTGTATAAAATTCCACAAAAATGTAAAAATGAAGAACTTTGGTGTTTGATTTGAATTAAAATCTCGGCTTAAATTATTTATAAAATGTAAAAAATAAAATAAATATATTTTTTTCTGAAATTTTTTGAGAATCATTATTCATTACTCAAAAGGATAAACGCGTTTCTCATTACTTGCACATTTTTTTTCCTCAAATAGTAAGGATGTTAATCGCCGTTACTTTACAGCATCATTTATGGTGCAAGTCAAAATTTTATTTTTAAAAAAATATGAAATCTAGTTTGATCGCATAATGTATAAATGTGAGAATCATTGATTTTTTTAAAAAATTCTTTTAACATTTTACGTATTTTTAAAATAAATAGAAAGAAGGATTATTGTTTAACTGTCAAACCTTATCTGTCATATTACTTTATTTTATAGTAATAGTGCCTCATGCCTAAACGTTTATTCGAGGAAAATTTTAATGATGGTATTCAAGACAATAAAAAGAAATCCAGCAGAATCAAAAAGATTCCTGATAAATTATTAATTATTGTTTTAGAAAATGCGAGCTTAGAAATAATCAAAGTAAAGTTAAATTTTAATTTATTTATAAATAATCAAGGTTGGAAATAAATATGAATTGCTTAATATTGAAAAACACAAACAAATTTTAAATAAAAAGATTTATACAGATTTATCAAATTTAAGGCCTGATATAGTCCACCAAGTTATATACATTTGGGATTTTTTATGTAAATTGATAATAGTGCCTACTTATGCTAATGGATAGCCCTTTAAATTTATCTGGTCATTTAAAAGTATACATCCATACCCAAAAAAATGTATTAATTGAAATAAATCCTCGAACTAGGATACCAAGAACAATAGAAAGATTTTCAGGATTAATGGGTTTATTACAATTTTTAAATTTTTCTTGAATTGAAAATATTACATAGTACAACTTTTACAAAACCTAAGTATACAATCAGTACAATCTGAAGAAAAATTATTAAAAGTATATGATTCATTAATATTTTGACAATAGTATATTCATGATTTTAATCTATATTAATTAGATCTGGACTAAAAAATGCTAATTAAAAAATTTCATTGTTCATATTCAATTTGAATTTTTAATATTTAATAAAACTATTATTTGATGTTGGATATTTGACTCAATTTGAAAATTAATTTTTTATTTATACTTTTTAAAGTAATAATTTTAAGTATTTGTTAATGATTTGATCAAATAAAGTAAAGCTTTTTTTATAAATATTTTTTTTATTGATAATTTTACATATTCATAAAATTATGAATGAAATAATAATGAATTTAGATTATTAGATGACAATTTTTATTTGATTATATTTATTTTTTAGATAATCAAAAACCCTGTCTCTAATCACATTCCCATAGGTTTTATGAAATTTGGAACATCAGTTTTATCCTCAATATCAATGAAACCATTTGAATTAATTACTCTTATTAATGATAAAACAGAGAATCCTGATAAAATAATTAATGAAAGTATGATGATTGATAAAATTTCAAATAAAACAAATTCTGAAGGATATGTATTTGTTGTAGGAGCAATGGCTCATGGATCAGTTAATTATATTTCATATTAATATTGATTTATTATCTTATAAACTTATCAATACTAATTATTAATAAATTAAATGGCTATATTTTGATTTTATTATTTTTTAAGATATTGTTATACATAAATTTGAATTTATTTCCAAGCAAATCACTTATTTTACAACTTTATATTTTTATAACTTTTTAATACATATAAATAATTTAAACATTTTAAATTATATACTATAGGTCAATACAGATTACACTGAAAAAGATATTAGTCTTAGTGAATACCCTTTATCTGCAGCTCTTACCTGTTCAAAGTTATGTAATATATTTGAACAAGCATGGAATATTTTTTGATAGAAATTATTTTTGTAAAATTATAAAAGCAGCATTATGTCAATATAAATCAAGATTTAAATTATTAAAATGTAAATTTAATCACATTGGCAAATTTTTGTCAAAACATTTCTGATAAGCAATTTTTCATTTGATTCCTATGATACCTAAATATATTTTTAGTCAAATTTATTATGAAAGCATTTTTTTTTTTAAATCGCTTAAGATTTAAAAATATCATGCCAATCAAATATGTCTTTTATTTATCATATATTCTATAAGTTATAGCCTACTGAAACCTTTTTTTCACATTTATAGCTTGTATAATAAAACTTATAAACTAGTGATCTGCAAGGCCTGGCACCCCCCCCCTCTGGAGTTTGAATTTACTTTAATCTTAGATGAGCCTAATTTGAAAATAATTTTGGTTCAGACTAGGCCTATTCAAAAATAATTCGATTTGAATAATTCGAATCTAATCGAATAATTATGAATACGAATAATAAATTATTTGTTTTATCTGAATACGAATAATCATTTATTCGATTTGAATAAAACGAATTATTTGTAATCAGAGTTGGGCAGGTCCTCCAGAAAAAGAATCTAGATACAGATTCTTTTAAAAAAAATGAATCTTAGATACAGATTCTAGTATCTTTTTCGAAATATCAAAAAGATAAATGATACTTGTATCTTTTACTAAATTAGAGTATCTTAAATATAAGATACTTTTAAATTATCATTACCAATTAAATTAGAATAGTTTATAATAAAATACAGTTTTTATTATTTATTTGTGAAGAACATAGCATACAAATATAAGAATGAATATTTGCAATAATTAATAAAATATTTATTGATGAATTAATTATAATAATCAGGGATTAATAATATTAATTTTTGCCCATTAATAACTTAAACAGGGAAGGGAGAGTAGTATATTTAATGGGAGTTAAAAATGTGCAAATAAGAAAAAAAATTAAATCAAATGATTTATTAGAATTTGCAGGTTATTTTCTGTGTTGTTTTAAATATAGCTTATATTCGGAGTATATGGATAAATGGCATCTCTAAAAAAAATATACTAGTTTTATTTTATTCATTATCTTTAATAAGTATTTATCATTACTTGTTTGTGATATTTATGTATTTTTTATTTATTTTCTAATATGACTTATTATTTCTTGCATTTATAATATCATAGTACATAAATATCATTTAAATCTTTTTTCATATTTTTTTTATATATTTCTTGCAAAATTATTAATTATATATAAAAAAATATGAAAATAATGTACAACATTATATTATTTAATTGTTAATTACATAGCAATTTTCTTTAATGCATTTTAAATTAATTAAATTTTGTAAATAAATACTGTAATGTAATTTTATTTATATCATAAATAAATAAAAGTAACTAATAAAGTTAAATTCTACCTTATTATAATTATTTTATTAAGAGCCTTTTAAAATTATCTAATATTATATATCAATTGTAGCTTAAATATTTCCTAGAACTTGCTAAAATAATTAAATATAAAATATATTTGGGATGTGCCGATATTTTTTATCGGATCGGGCCGATATTTCATCCATTTTAAAATATCGGTTATAGGTCAAAAATTTGATCCGATATAAAAATGGCTTCTTTAACAAAAATAAAATGTTATAAAATGAAAAAAAAATAGTTATATCTAAAATCATTTATTTTTATAAATAAAATAGAAATCCATTTTTATATATATTTTTTTAGTAATAATAATTAATTAATAATAAATTCTATCATATTGTTATTTTTTTGCGCATTCTGTTTATAAAAGTGTGCGATAATCACTACAGAATCTGTTTTTAGTGAAGCTGGTGATATAGTTACTATCGCCGCAAGCTGACCTCTGAGAAATCGGAAATATTGGTATTTCTAAAAAGAAATCTTCCCTATATTAATGTTAGATATTATTTTTAATATTTATTTCAAATTTCATAATATAATTGTTTATTACTTAATATGTATATAGATTAATGTTATTACTTATTATATAAAAGTGATTTAACAATAAAAATATTTTATATACTTTTAGAATTGTAATTCAATTGAATATAAACTATAACTGATCATTATAAATATATTTATATGACATAGGTTATGGTACAGTTAAATTATAGATGTTATACTAATAAAAATTATATTAAAAATTAAAACCATTGTTATCTTTACAGAATACAAAATTAGATATGATATCGGATCGGTAATCGGCCGATATCAATTTAATATCGGGAATATCGGATCGACCTCTAAAAAGTAGTATCGGTACACCCCTAAAATATATATATCCAAAATTATTTTAATTTGATAATCAACTATCTTCTATAAAAATTTTTAATAACAATTATATAAGAAGGACTTAAGTATTATAGGTATTATTATGTTAATAATTATAAAATAAAGATGTATATTATACTTAATATGTTTAACAAAGTTTGTGAGGAGTATGTTCAATCTTTAATAACTTTTTACTTGTGTAATTTTGACATTCGGCTTGCACCTTGTCCTTTTTCACATGAATTACTATATAAAATTTTCCATCTAAAATTTCAAAATTCAGATTTGACTCAGGAGAACCTATCTCCATAATTTTATCTTCACTACTATAAATGTTAAACATTCTACAAATTAAAAAATATTACATATAAAATATAACCTTTACTTATTTAGTTTTGGTGTTGTTATTTTTAATCTATCTATCTTTGTGATCTTTAATTCCAACTAATTTTGGTTATCAATATATTTAAATAGCAGAAAATAATACAAGATTTCACGAAGAAAATAAAGTTAGATTGTGTGATATGTAAATGTTTTAAATATGAATATTAAAAAGAATCTGTATCTTTTTAAAGAAAATGAAAAAGATACAAGATTCTTTTCAAAATAAAGGATCTTAGATACAGATACTAGTGTCTTATTAAAAATGTCAATAAGATACTGAGTACAAGATACAAAAGGATCTTGTATCTTAGATACAAGTATTCGCGGTACTGCCCAACTCTTATCGTAATATTGAATAAATTGTTTAATAAATCTAACATTTGTCATTTCTATTTGTTAACCAGCCAATTTGACAGGTAATGTGTTTGTGTTTATAAAAATTCTAGCACAAATTTAAAAAATTTTTATTTGCCATATTTTTTGAATCTCACGAAAAGTTTATTTTTTTAATCTCATAATAAATTATATTAAAAATTACACACACCAGAGAGGTACATAAAAATATATTACATCTCTACAATAATTATTGTTAGCTAGCCTAATTATGTTAGAGGAGAATGCTTCTGATGAAATTATGCTTGATGTTGAAGATAAGAAAATTTCCTCACAAAAGAGAGCAATCATATGGGATCTATATCAAATCCTTAAAGACGGTGAAAAGGCTGCTTGCAATCATAGAGTATTATAAAATGTAAAGGCAAAACAACATCTCTTATTAATCATTATAATAGGTTTCATTCACACCTTAGTAAAAAAAATAATAAAATTCATATTTTTTTAAAGTCTTCACCAAATTCTTCAAAAAAATTAATTTTAAGGATAATTTATTAAAATTATTTATAAATAATAATATATCTTTTAAAATTATTAATTCAAATGATTTTAAAAATTTTATAAGTGATCTTGATTGTTCTGTAAAATCAATATGCTCCAATACTCTTAAGTTGCACATGTATAATACATTTGCAGAAAAAGAACAGTAGGTAAAGGAAATAATATCTAAAAATAAAAGTTAGATTAATTTTTCATCTGACATTTGGACTAACCCTAGACAGGTTCCCTTTTTAGGGCTAACAGCCCATTTTATTGATGATAATTATAAAATAAAGAACATAATTTTGGATGTCAGTCCAATAAATGAAACACATTCAGGTGAAAATATATTTAAAGCCTTTGTCAAGATAATTAAAACTTATAATTTAGAGAATAAAAATTTTTATATAACTTTAGATAATGCAATAATAAAACATATATTGATACATTTTCTTTAAAATATCCATTAATAAAAATAGGGCACATTCGATGCTTTGCCCATGTAATTAATTTAATATCCAAAGAATTTTAAAAATTTTAGATCCTTCAATTCTAAAACTAAGAAACATTATTAGAATGATTTGTAATTCCCCTAAAAAATTAAATTTATTAAAAAATATATGGAGTTCCCTACACCCAACCCTAAATTTTTTAAAACCAAAATTAGATTGTGAAATAAGGTGGAATAGCACCTACCAAATGATTGAAAGGGGCTTATTGTTAAAGCCTGCTATAACAAAATTAGTTAATGAAGTAATAACTAATATTAAAATTCTTCAAGAAAAACAAATATCAGAGGTAAACTATAATTTATAATTAGGTAATAATATAATACTTTGATAACATATAGGAAGAATGGGAGGATCTTATAAAAATTAAAGCTATCTTATTGCCTTTATATGAAACTACAAATATGGTGTGTGGGGAGAATTATCCTACTTATAATTTGGTTATACCTTATTATATTTTAATTCTTGAACATATAAAAAATTAAAAACGTGGTTTCCATTAATCCTTTAACAATAGTTTCAAGTAGCATGTGATAAATTGTTGGGCTATTATAATTTAACTGCAGATGATGCAATAATAACCACAATATTAGATCCCAGGCTTAAAGTAGAATATTTTAAATCATCTGTTGATTATGATATTGATATATCCAAGTTAATGGACAAATTTACAATAGATATACAGGTATTTAATTTACCCCCATTTAAATATGATTTTATTTTATAAGCTCATAATTATAACTGTCAAACAACTAAGGATAAAATTCAACAAAACAGGCTAGACATTGTTTTTAAACAAAATAATATTCAACTGTGTGAAATAGATTTTTATCTGAGTAAACCAAGAGCAAAGAGTGATACTGACCCGTTAATGTGGTGGAATGCAAATGCATATCCGATCCCCATACTCTCGAAAATGGCAAGGGATTATCTATCTATACAAGGAACATCAACTGCTTGTGAAAGGCTTTTCTCAGTTGGAACTAATTTTTTGTCAAAAAACCGCATGTCATATAAGGAAGAAAATATAAGAAAAACTCTTTGCCTTAAAAACTGGCTTAAATTATAAATTAAAATAATAATATACATTATAATTTTGTTTATAACTTGATTATTTATTATCAGATTATTGATTACATATTATAATTTTTTCTGTTTAAAATCAAATTTGTAATAAAAAAATTTATCAATATATTTGAGCATGATTTATTTTATTAAAAAAATTAATTCTAATCGAATACAAATCGTAGATTTTATTATTCGTACGAATTAACGAATCGAATATGAATAATGCACTATTCGATTCGAATTCGTTTTTGAATAGGCCTAGTTCAGACTGACAAAAAAATTTTACTTTCAGGCCTTGCTTTTTTAGGCCAGGCCTAGTGATTTTTAGGCTTGATGCAGATTTCCACTATCAACCACATTAAATTTGCTCAGTACCCTCAAAGGTTAAGCGGCAATGTTTGAATTGTTAAAATAAGTGGGCTGAAATAACAATCTAAAAAGGAACATTAAGAGAAAAAAAATGCTCATGTAATTTAGATAAATTTTTTTGCTAATTTCATGTTCCTACTTATAAATCTATTTTATTCAATAAAATAAGAGTTATAGATTTTGAATTTATCTTTCCTATTTTACCCCATATGCTTTGTCATCATGGAGTTAGATGACAAATTAACCTTCTCTAAATCTTAAATAGCGCCGACTATGTAATTGGGTAAGACGCTCAGAGTTTTTTGTTTTGTAGATGAATGTTTATCGTCTCATTTGATAAAATTTTAATAAAATCGATTGAAATGAAATATAAATTTTATCACAAAAAGCAAAATCCTTACCATCTTATGGTTTCCCCTGGAAATAAACCTATTTTTTTTATAATTGATCTTATGTCTCAAGAATTTATACATGAAACCTTATATTTTGAACTTACTCGCAAATCACAACATGTAAAAAACTTTTTTAAAAA